CCCCCCGCTGCCCATACATACCAACTGCAATCGACCTCTCTGCGCGTGAGTCACCCATCATATACCGGTCAGAACCCCCAAATCGCTACCTGGCTAGCTACCAATCGCTCGCTACCTTCACAGCCCATCCATCGATCCATGTGCTCGGCGGGCGAGCAGGTCACTCAGGTCACTCACTCTGTGTATCGGCTGGGCTGTGCCGCCTTGAGCTGCTCGCTCACGCCCTCCTCCCTGGCACGGTCGGCCACCAGCGACAGCAGTGGCGGCACGGGCATGGGGATGGCAGGGAACGACACTGGGGTCGCCGTCACGGAGGAGCCGTCAACACACAGGGAGGGGAAGCCCACCGATGCCATGGAGGCGGCGGCGGGCCCAGTCATCGGCGCCGGCGACAGGGGTGGGGAGAGGGGGAATGCGCCGTCCACACACGTGATGGGAATGATCGGGGTCAGGGGCAGCTGCAGGCTCATGAAGGTGCTGGTGCCGGTGGTGACGCCGCCCTCGTGTTGGCGGCCGATGTGCTGCGGGTGTGGCGTCCCGTCAGCTGGTGTGGCCGTGAGTGCCGGCGACAGGATGAGGCCGCCGCCGTCGACAAAGCTGGAGCGGCTGGATGGCGTCACGCTCACCGCCCCCTCGCCGATGGCCACGAATGGCGGCAGTGGCACCGCACTGAGGTCCACGCCCCCACCCATCCCGCCGTCCATGTGTCGCAGCATGTCCACGTCAAAGGTGTGTGGGGGATGGCGTGGCGTCTTGGGGTGGGTGATGGGTGTGCCGACCAAGGGCGTGAGTGTGCGGCGGGTGATGGCGCGGCTCGCTGTGGCCGAGTCCCCTAGCAGTGGGTACGCGCGCGGCGGGCGAGGGGTCGAGGATGGCTCATGTGCCAGCAGCTCGGGGTGGTACTTCTTGACATCTTTGAACCCTGACAGACAGATAGACAGACAGACAGACAGAAGAGAGTGTGTGGTGATGCGATACGTGTGTGTGGTAGGTACCGTACCGTGTGCGAATCTGCAGCGGTCCCCCAGGCTACATGACCCCTTCTTCCACTTCTGACATATCTGCACAACCAACACACATACAGCCCTGGGCGGATCCATCGACGCGCAGGCCTCCTTGGCTGGTTGTGGCATGACTGACTACGTAACGTACCTGTGTCTTGTACAGTTCGGGTGTACTTCTGAGTTCGCTCTCGTGGTGGGCGAACCTGCAGTTGCGATCCGTGCAGCTGCCGCTCTCACGGAAGGCCTTGCACATCGTGGTCTTGCTCAGGTCAGGCAACGAACGCATCTCGGAACGCTGCACACACACACACACACACACACACACACATATATGCATGACGCCCATACCGCCTCCCTCACCCCCTCACCCACCCCTCCGTCCGTCCACTCCTCCCCTCTGTGTGCACTGCAGTGACTGTATGTCGGTGGGTGGCTTACGCTATGTGCGTAGTTGCAGTTGTCCCCCTTGGCACACCTCCCGTTGATGTACATGTTGCACATCTTGGTCTGAACACACAAACACACAAACACACAAATACAGCTACACAAGGTGAGCGTTGTCCGCTGGATGGACGGCGTGGCCGCCCTTTCGCCAGGTGCGCTGACCTTGATCATGCGCTGCACCAGCGACGCTGGGAACCGCGCAAGCTTGGTGTCAGGCGTCGTGGGGCTCGATGGTGGCGGGGTGTTTGGGCTACTCTCGGTCATGACGGCAGGCGGGAAGACGCGGCAAACAGACGGTGCAAGGCAAGATGCCCTCGCGTGTGGTGTCTGGCGAGGCTGCTGCAGCGATGGATGGTGGCGGGTGTATTGTATTCCTGCAGAGTAGGGCGGGGCACGACGGACGGGTGTAGGTGTCGTCGCGACGTGCAGGGTAGGGCAAGACAGCTCGGTAGACAGAATGGATCTTCGGTAGCTAGGCCCTGCGAACGCACCCGTGCGAAGGGCGAAATAGGAGAGGAGTGTTAGCGCGTTCTGAGCTTCCACCTGTTTCGCGTTTCCCTATCATGTTTGAGCTCGCAGATAGGAAAACTTCAGCACTTTTGAGGGTCCGGAATATCACGCTCGGTGTAGCTGACCGTTCTGCCCCTTTCGGCCACTGCAAAGGGCGTTTCCACTCGTGACACCGTCTCGGGACGCCCCTGTTTCCAAACGCCGTCCTGTGTTGCTCTCTGCGTTGAGCGCTCTGGCATCGTAATCGTAGCATGGAGACCCTCCCCCAGGAGAAGCCCGAAGAGATCGATATCGATGACGTTGAGGAGTTATCAAAGGTAAGAAAATGCCGGTTCCACTGTGCGTGAGGACCATCATATGCGCATCTCACGCCATGCCCCATGCCATCCAGGACTGTGCCCGTTTGCACTGTGTTGTGGCTGTGTGTGTGCATGCAACGCAATGCAGGACGAGTTTCTGTGGCGGTCGTTTGAGAGTTACGTGACGGTCAAGGAGTTGTCGCTGCGCGGCACTCTCGAGGACAACAAGGAGCAGGAACAGCCCATGGATAAGACGGTGAGTGAGAAGGGCAGAGGGACGGGTGAGTGAAAGGCAGGCACTCGGAGGCCGTTGTGGGTCGTGTGTATGTGTGGTGCAGGCTGACCGTCGTCGGTATGAGATTCAGGACCGCATTGAGCTGACGGGACCGGTGGGCACAGGACGTCTGTGTGTATGGTGGATGGATGGATGGCTGAAGGCACGTGCTCTTCATGTGTGTGTGTGTGCGCAGATGCCCACGGCCTCGCTGTATCAGATGTGCAAGAACAGGGATACCAAGTGAGTCTGTAACAGCACTTGAGACAGCAAAGGAGGGAGGCAGGGGCAGCGTCACGTCACAGCTCTGATGGATGGATGGATGGATGGATGGTCTCTCTGCCCGTCCCGTCTGCATGTGTGTGTTTGTGTGCTGTGTGTGTGTTTGTTTGGTCGTTCCTTCAGGGAGTATGGTTGGTGCTTGATGCAGGAGGGCCCTTTGCGCATCACACGGCTCGACACATGGTGGGTACCCATACACACATCACATCAAGAAACACACACACACACACACACACACATACACATACACACGTGTTCTTTCCCTGCGCTGCATGTGCCTCTGTGATGTGTCAGTTTCGTGTTGGCGGTGACGGCGCCCCCCCGGGCCACACTGCGTTCGGGGCCGATCCACTGCAGGTCGGCCAGCGGTGAGGCGCAGATAGTGTTCAAGACGGGCGAGAGGTACGACGCCTGGAGCAAGAGCAACCACCTGTTCATCCAAAACACCACCGCCGACGACTCAAAGGTAGGTCCCATACACTCTCTCTGCCTCCGTGGACGGCTGTGTGTGTATGTGTGTATGTGTGTGTATGTGTGTGTATGTGTGTTCATTCAGTGGAACCGTGAGCTGTATTCGCTGCGGGTGCACGACGTGGAGCACCACGAGTATTTCACCAAGGTGGTGCAGGAGATCATCGACGACGTGCACACCCTGGTGCCGCCCACCCTCGTGCCCCTGCCGCCCCTCGAGCTGCCCCTGCCGCCCCCACTCCCCGGACGACGGCCCGTCGCATCATACAGCTGCGTGGGAGCCATCGGCAACACATACTCGTGAGCGACCATGGGAGGGAGGGAGGGAGGGAGGGAGGATGCCATCAATAATGGCATCTGTGTCGTGTGTTTGGGTGTCTGTGCAGGGAGGGGATTGACACGTGAGCGGAGTGGCTGGTATTGCGGGGGGTTGGGGGAAGAGGGTGCTGTGTGTTGATTGGTTGATTGGGTGGTCGGGCTGTGGCGTGCGTGGCGTAGTGAGCTGTGGAGGAGACAGACATGGATGCGTCCATGGAGGAGTGGGTGTGTGCTTGAGAGGGAGGGAGGGAGGGAGGGAGGGCGGCAGTGTTTTCTAATGCGATCGATGGCTGGCCAGCCGGACAATATATTGATGGGATGTCCAAGCATCAATCAACCAACACCCATATACACATCTTATCCTTCGCTCTCAAAGGTGCCATGATGCCGCCGCAGCAGCACACCTCTACGCAGATGCCGTCGACCCATCCACGACACAAACTATTGCACTGCACTGCAGTGCACTTCGCTGCGGCGGAGACCAATCCGAGATCAGAAAGCAACAACCTCCACACATGCATCATCCATCCACGCGAAGAACTGACTCCCTCGTCGGGTGGAGCCTCCCACGAAGGCCCGTAGTCTGCACACACACATACAACGATGGCCGCGCCTTGATGCATTGATTGACATCACTGCTGCTGACCAGGAAGGCTGTTCCACAGGCTATCAATCGCAGCAGCCGACCCAGCCCAACCTTCACACGCCTCCCGCACCACTTTGATGCTCGCCTCCCCATCTACCTTCCCCTCCCAAACCATCGAGCAGCAGAAGAGCACTCCGTGCCGCTCATCCCTGTGCGCCAGTTGCGACGCCAGGAAGGCCAGCCGCTCCAGGAACTGCTTGAATGGTGTGTGGCTGAGGGTGAGGAGCCTTGTGTGTTGACTGCGGTCGAAGAGTGTCTGGCAGTTGATGAAGTAGAGAGTGCGCCTGGATGTCTTGAGGAGGTCCATTGACCGCTCGAGGACGTCCTGCAGGTGGGAACTAAAGGATGTGTCGCCGGGAGAGGGGTCAGAGAGAGGTCGATTGATCACCGCGGTGACGTCCTGCAGACAGCCAACATGAGAAGCGAGAATGTGCGGTCAACGGATTCACTTGTTTGGTGTGCATGCTTGTGGAATGTGTGTGTGTGTGTACGTGTTGGTGTGTGGCGAACGTCATGAGTCTGTCGAGGTGGTCGCCGCCCAGCTCCAGAAACTGATTGCCGACGAACCGTGTGCTTGCATAAACACACATAGTACTGGTCCGTCGACGAGCCTGAACGCAAGACAAGGTATCCACGACGTCGGTCGGGTCACGTATGTCACATCTTCACTTATTGATTGACGACCTACCTTCCATGGCACATGCTGGCCTAAATGCGTCGATGCCGAACTCATTCCAGAAGAAGAAGAAATCGTCGATCGTCAGCAGAAACAGACCCCTGACGGACACAAAGAGAGAGGCAGCACGACATCCACACTGACGCCAGCCAGACTCTTTTATCACCTGGCGATGTCTGTGTCCAGGAAGGGCAGGCGGCTCACCTCTCGCGGCGGACACATCCTCACCCGGCTGACACACACACACACACGCACGGACGGCCAGAACTGACGCTGCATCCCTCATGCGCGCCAGCTGTGTGTACCTGCAGCAGCCGCACATTGATGAAGGAGGCCGACAAGATGGGCAGGAACGATGTCAGCCGCAGAAAGTTGACGTCCGAGGCGTTGGATCAGAGTGGACCTGACGGCGAGCCAACACGGCAGACACGTCAAGAATGAAGTCAACCGGCATCAGCCGGCAGACAGAGGGTGCTTACTTGCCGGCATTTTGGTCTCCCACGAGGAGGAATGTGAGGACTTCCACGCCTGGCTTGTGGCCGAGTGCCGCCACCACATTGCTGAGCGTCAGCTCGTCCACCTCCTCGTCATACCTGCAAACACAAACATCAGCACAAGCACAGCACAGGCACAAGCAGCTGGACGAACGACAACGAATCATCAGATCTGGGTGATGACCTGTCTGGGTGTTTGTAGGAGCATCACTGCTCGAACCCGAAGGGCGTCCTCACGACGGGAAGCGCCTCCTCAACCTCCATTTTCTCCGCTGCGGTGCGATCGAATCGACGCGCGGGGAAGAGCGGCGAAGGAATGGGGATGAGAGGAGAGCTCCCCATCCTCTGTTGAAGACGGTTGAGCCATCCATGGGTTGACAAGCCATCGCAACTCATCCATCGCGTGGCGCACCTCATCATCATCGGCCTCTCTTCGTCGCCTCGTCCAGGCATGGCGAGCGCACCTCTCTCTTCAGCAGCCAACCGACAGAGGACGAGGCCTGTCAGCTACTTGGATAGGGCCACGTGACAAGGTATGGCGCATCAGGCGATGGAAGACCATCATCTTTCTGAGATGCTGGCTGGCTGACCTGACCTCCTTTGTTGTGTTCAGGACGGTTGGCCATGTCTGCGGCTGCACTCGTGGATGGCCTGGCTAGTGACAGCCAACAGACCCGAGCCGACTGCATTCGCGCCCTCGCCGATGAGATCCGCAAGGATCCTGACTGTGCCAACCTCATCAGGCGTCTGCTGGAGGCCAATAGTCGGGCACTGCTAGCGCTTCTTGAGGCGGTGTCCTCCTCACGCGAGACTGAAAGGCTTGCCGGGGGGATTGTCCTCTTCGGGCTCACTGTCACACGAGAGAGCGACCTTCTGGACGCCAAAGTGGCTGACCACGCAGGCCCTGTCTGCTGCTGGCTCCACGGACAGTCTGGTGGCCATGATGGTCGGCGCCAAGGACGAGGTCGGCGTGTCTGTCGCCTTGAGCGTCTTCTCAGAGGTGTTGCAGCGAGGGATTGAGTCGGGGGACTCGGGTGCCCGCGACCTGCTGCTCAGCAAGTACTACGACATCGTGACGACCTGTCTGACCTACCTGGCGTCGCAGAGGGACTCGCACGGCCACCCTTTCATCTTCAGGCTCATCTTTATCGAATCCATCTTCTCCATACGCTTCCCGACGCCGCCTGCTCCGAGCACGTGGGAGCCTCTGCTGCCATGCCTGTGTGAGGCGCTGCTGCGCGACGGTGCCCTCTGGTCTGGCAGGCTCCACTACATCAGGCGCCTCAATGAGATCATCGCCGAAATCATCAGCTCCGCACCAAAGACAAGTAAGAAATGGATGGATGGATGGATGGATGAATGGGTTGATAACACGGAGAGCTGGCATCCACCAGACCAGATGTGTGTCTGTGATGACCTCATCCATCAGGTGCCTCTGAGATTCTGTCTCGGCTTTTGCCCTCGCATCTCGACAGCAGCATGGCCGTCCTGGACAGCGGCGGCTCCACAGATAGCCTCAATGCGATGGCCTCAATGCGCTGGCGGGCATCCATCGCGATCTCTCTGATATTCTGCTTCGCCTCTCTGCATCTGGGTCGGCATACCATACCCACACGCTTCTATGATATAGTATGATATAGTGCCTGGACCTGTCTGTCTGTCTGTCTGTCTGTCTGTCCGTCCGCAGAGCGTGTAGATGATGATGCTGATCTGGCCGATCTGGCCGAGTTCGACCGGTTGTGTGAGCCGCTGCTGGAGGCCCCTCGAGCGCTCAGGATCGTCGCAGACCACGTCATGAGAGGACTCAAGGAGCCAGAGCCACTTGTGCAGACGGTCTCGGGAGACCGATCTGCCAGTCGGCGCGCTGTGGACGACTGTCGAGCCCTTTCTGGCGTGTCCGTCTTTATCCCACGGGCACTCATCTGTGAGCAGAGACAGGCTCTCTAATTAGTCGGCATACATGCATCTGTTGTGCGTGTGCGTGCAGGTGTTGGTCACACTGCTGCAGTGATTCAGGCGGGCTTCCCCGATGTCATCATGGCACTCACACAGCACTGCCAGCACAGCAACGGGTTATTTGACGACGCCGTCGACTTCGCCCCACACGTGCTCGGTGTCATGTATGCATTCACAGACGCAAACGACAAGGTGGGGGGGGGCGCTAACGGAGGGAGGTCTCATGATACTCTCGGATACGTGTGTGTGTGTTTGTATCGATGTGTGCAGATGATGATCGACATGGGTGCGGTAGAGGTCGTGTGCGATTTGTTGCTCAAGCGCCACGCAGAGAAGATTCCAGCACATGCCACGACCACCGATTCGCCAGCGCCACTAGGTGTGGTCGGACGGTGTTGGCAAATCCTGGGCAAGGTGGTCATGTAAGCATCCAGACCCGATATGAGATGCCCACACACATAACGGTCACATGTGATGTGTTTGTTGCATGTGTTTATCTCGATGCTTCCATCCAGCTATGGCGAGTCCCGCGTGCGTCCCAATGCGCCGCACAACAAGGTCTCTCAAAAGATCCTGCAGGTGACTGACTGATGAGCAACCTAGGTCATGCCTCCTCAGCTTGGCAAGCTGTTACGGTTTCTTTTGTCCGTTTCCAGAATGCATCCGTCCAGAAGTTGCGTGAGCTTCACCGCTCCACCGGTGGCCTCGACGTCCAAGACACCAGCAGGCGCTCCAAGGCCAAGAAGGGCAGGATCAAGGGGCACTCAAACGCGAAGCCATCCCAGTAGGCCAACTAAGCGATGGACGGATCTGTTTCTCTCGGGTGGCTGGCATGGATGCCGTGGATGGCATGCAGGCCATGCAGCCCGCCAGACCCCACCTCTTGCCCGCCGTCATCCTCCTCCTCATCCCCGTCAGATCAGAAGGCCGACGGCGCAGCAGGGAAGGACGCTGCTCGTGGGGCGACACCTCTCGCCGGCGTCCTGGCGTTCTTGGACCAGATCGAAGAGAAGGAGAACGATCGTGCTGCGGCCGTGTTAGCTGACCTCATGGCGACCGACGAGAGGGCGGAGAAGGACAAGACGGCGGGGAAGGGCGGGGGGAAGGCTGGAAAGGGCAAAGGGCCACCGAGTGTGGCCGAGTCTGCGCGCTCCTATGGCGTGTAAGTGGGCAACGACACGGCAAGCCCCCGCCACTGATTGGTGTGTGTACCGTTTGCTTGTATCTGTCAGGTGTGTTGATGGTCGTGATGCCTCTGACAGAGTGGCTGCCGCCGGACCCCAGGCAGGGTGTGTGGGCGGGAGGGAACACTGCACGGCTGCCAGCACACATGCACTGTGTGTGGGTCTATCTGGGACAGATCTGCTGGTGCTGGTGCTGTCCCAGGGGAGAGGGACCCTCAGCCCAGCGGCAGGAGGAGGAAGAATCGGAAGAAGAAGCTCAACAAGGGCAGGGGCGAATCGCAGTAAGTGATGGAAGGAGAGAGGGAGGGGGAAGGGGCTGCATTACGGTGGACTGTGTCATCCATTTTGGCTCCCAAAGGTGTGTTGAGTCGGTGGCCGAAGAGGGCGTGGAGCATGACGGTGGTGGCGACGTAGAGGACGCTGGTGCTGACGGCGATGACATAGACACACGGCAGGAGAGGTCAGCACACACAACACAACACGACACAACACAGCAAACCTGTCACCCCTCACTGATACGTACTGCATCCTCTCTTGATTTACAGGCCAATGTCCGAGTCTGCGGACACGACGCGGCCTTCTTCTCGCTCGTCCGCTGCCGAGCCTCTCTGGCCTGCCGCCAAGCCTTTGCAGGGCGTCGGAAGCGGCACGGCTGGGCAGGCCGGCAGTGGCCCGGGGGCGGGGTTGCGAGAGGGCCATGGTCTCGCTGCCCTTTCGCCTTCGGTCAGTGGCGCGGTGGCCGCATCGTTCGGAGCTGGGCCGGCACTCACACGGGCGACCGACAAGCAACATCCACCACAGCAAGATGGAGAGGACAGGTCCGTTGCGTGCCCCAGACAGGCATCTGCACCGTGGCAGACGTGTCATTTGTGTGTTGGGTGTGCAGTGAGGATGAGGACGAGCATGAGGTGCAGACCCAGATGGCCATCGCTGCATCGCTGGACGACGCCACCACCGCTGCCATGGTGCGCCCGCCATCCATGCCGCCTTCTTCGTCGATGATGTCTGGCGGCTACGCCAGTGGCGCACCCGCAGCAGCAGCAGCGGCGGCGGCGTCGCTCGGGCCTCTGAAGGATGCAGTGTGCAGGGCTATAGAGGAGCAGCAGAGGTCAGCAAAGGATCTTATGATGGAGGGATGGGCGGACGATTGGCTGCGTCATGTGTGTGTCCATGTCATTCATCTGCAGCATGGAGCGTGCTTATGGCGAGGCGCTTGAGCGGCACTCGACCATCATGGTGCGGACCAACAAGCTCAGCGCGGCCATGAGGGCACTCACAGAAGCCACGCAAGAGCAACCAGACACGTACAAAGATGGAAATGAAGCGCTCTGAATCATCTTAAATCGATTCCTGTGGTGCGTCAGGTTGACTCGCGATGCGCTGATGGCCCTGACGACGGCAGCGGAGGTGTGTGAGTTCGGCGAGAGGGTCACGCGCGAAGACGAGCGGCTCGACCAACTCTACCGTCGTGCATGCGATTCCTCCCGCACCAGCAGTAGCGACACACGTGCCGGCAACGGCAGCGGGTCCCTGTTTGGCCGTCTGCCGTCCCCGTCTGCAGCATTTGATGTAGCGCGCAACAATGATCGCATTCCAAGGTGAGTAACGACACCATACACACACACACACAGAAGTGATTGATCGGCACTCACTCAGGTCCTCGCGTCATGACGAGATAGCTGACGAGGTCGATTCGATGTCATCGGAGGGGCAGCTGCGCGAGATGCTGCAGAGCACCAAGGCCAAGCTGCGACAGTGAGCACACGCACGTAGAAACGAGCGAGGGAGTATGTTCATACTGCCCCTTGGCTCTCCTGTAGGCTGGAGGTGGACATCTCGACGGTGACGGAGGCGACTGCGGCAGCCGAGGCGACCACCATACCAACACTCCAGCAACAACACGACCGCCTGCTGCAGATAGCCCGCACATGGTAGACACACGCGCACACGAGTTTAGCCGCCAATGCACCGCACCCTTGTTCGTTCTGTTGTTGTGTTGCGTGTATGCAGCTTGACGGAGTACCGGCTGTCATCCCTCCAGTCACCTGAAGATGTGGAGGCCTTCAAGCGCGACATCACCAAGGCCAGGGAGGCACTGCGGGCACTCAACAAGGAGGCCAGCAAGATAGAGGGTCGGCTGGAGGAACGCGAAGCAGCGGCCGCCTCTGCTGCTGCGGCACCGCCTCCCCCTCCCCGTCCCATCTGCGGCATCTGCAACGACAGCCCGCCCACAGTGCTATTTTATCCCTGTGGTCACCTGTGCCTGTGTGCCGATTGTTGGCAGCAGTGGAAGGGCAGACACGAGAGGGCCAAGGCAGAGAAGGCGCGGCTGGAGGGGGCGGGCCAGCCGGTGCCTGAGGAGGTGCGTCGGTATGCGGTGCTGAGATGCCCTTCCTGCCGGAGCGAGCCCGAGAAGACGATCCTAGCGCACGTGCAGACGGAGGATTGAGTAGATCAGACAGGCAGAGGGGAAGGGCGGGCGGTGTTGTACAGGTGGTGGACGGTGGATGGTGGGGGATGCCTGATGACCGACTCACCATCAGCAGCCAGCCAGCCAGCGTAGCTTTCATTACATTCCATTGCATTTCATGGTCATACAAGACACATTTCACGTAAATGTCGTTGGATGGCCTCATAGTCTGTCGGCACATTACTGGCCTGCCTGACACATGGCTGATACACATAAACCGAACCGCATGCCGCCACACATCCATCCAACATATCCGACTTACTACACAAAAAAAGGCTCAGCTCACTTCTTACTACCCACACATCACACTAATGCCCTCGCTCAAGTGCTGTGCCCCTGCTGCCGCACAGGCTCATCCCCCGACCGTGACGCCGATCAGCCCCCAGATGCCCCCAAGCCGGCAACTTAAGGCCTACAAGTTGCTCGCCTCGGACGATAGGTGCGCTGCGCGTGCCCCTTTCCACAATTACGAAGTTGCCCAAGTGGAGATCTGTCTTCTGACGCAGTGTGTGGTGTGTGTTCAGATCACACGTCCAGTTAGTGCATCTCGCCACCGGCCATCGGCATCAAGGATGAAGTGGTGGGTGCCCCAGCCTAAGCAGGTATGGAACCCATCCTGGAAGCTGCCCAAGTTCAGCACCATGCACCGCCTCGACAAGTCGTTCTTCGCGGCCGTCCCCGCCGCCTTGGTCATGTTCCTTGTATACCAATGGGGAAACCCTCCTAAGGTACGTTGACGCAGAAACGGTGCACACATCGACACAGACACAGACACGGACAACACACACACAGATCTGTCTGTCGGTCTGTCGGTCTGTTTGCCTGCATCCCTGGTGCAGGGCGTGCCAGTTCCTGGCGACAAGGACTATGAGATCGAGAGGGTCGAGTGGATCAGGGAGGCCAAGGAGCGGCAGGAGCGGCTGAAGCGCGGCGGTCCCGTGGAGGACGACGAGTCGCTCTCCTTCCTCACCAGCAATCCTTACGAGGGAATGGGCAAGTTCCACACGCCGAGAACCACCTGACTGACGAGAGAGCGAGAGAAGCGGGGGACGGAAGGCCGTGACGTGACGGGCTGTTTGGTGTGGTGTGCAGTGGGTGGTGCTGGCCCTCTTGGCTCGCTGACTGATCAATGCTCCTGGCCCGTCGCTGGCCCTTGGGTTTCCTGCCTTCTGCTTGGCTGATGCCTTGGTGGTGTGGGTAGCTTCCCACACCGTCACGGCGTCGGCCATGCGCATGGCACAGGGAATCGAAGGACAGACGATGGACAGGGGGTGCTGTGGCTGTGGTGGGGGGATGCTTGTTGTAGTGGGGGGCTGCGAAGGTTGCTTGGTTGATTGCGTGTGGATGGATGGATGTGTGTGGGCCTTGATCGGGTGTTGTCCGTCCCGTGCTGCGACCGCATTCAGCCCTCAGCTGATGCACACAGCTGAGAGATGAGTGCGGAAGAGAGAGGGACTGTCACTGCTCGACAGCCTCACGCGTACAGTCCGCCTGCGCTCATCGTGTTGGTGTGAGGGAGAGAGCACTTGGTGTTGATATGGGTGAGAAGGGAGGTACGGCAATGACGATCTCAGCGAGGAGCTTTATGGTGTTTGTTTGTGGGCGATGTGTGTGGTGTGAGATACGGACACACAGCAATGCTCTGTACAATCGCTTTTCAGTCCTCCCATCCGATCATGAGTTCATCCAGCCCAACCCAACCCAAGCCGACATCCTAACCTCCTCTCTCGCCCGCCCCCTCACACACACGACGGCCCGCACACACCCACACACTCATCTATCCAGTTACTCTACCCCCTGCCCCCAACTCCCCGCCCGAACAGAGGCGGCCGGCCACGGCCGGTGTTGCTGCTGTAGGGATGGTGATACATACTGGGGTAATTGGGGGGCGGAGTGAGGGGCCGCACTAAGTGCTGCTGGGGCATCCGTGGCATCGGTCTGTGCACCAGCTGCGGGCTGTGGGCCACCGCCTGCACCCCTGCTGCTGGTGGTGCTGGGTGATACATGGGGCCCGGTGGGGGAGATGGGAAGGCAGGGCCCTGGCCACGCTGACAAGGAAAACAGAGAGAAGACAATTGTCTGTCTTCGTCTGTTGTGTTGTGTTGTGTTGTGTGTGTGTGTGGTTCTTACGTGTCTGAGGTTGGTGGGCATGTGTGGCTGTGTGACGAGGCGTGTGTTGACGCCCGGCCGCTCGTCCCCCCCACTCCCACTAACGAACCGCCGAGGTGCTGCAGGGGAGGTGGGCGTCGTCACCGTACCAGCCACACCCAGCGCCAGAGGACTGCAGCCAGGAAACAACCAAAGGAGACAGACCATCTTCTCCTCTCTCTCTCTCTCTCTCCTGTGTGCCTCACACACAAGTGTATGTATTACCGACCGGTGGCCGTGTCTCATGAGGGGTGGTGGTCCGGGTGCCACCAGCGGTGCCCCCACCCCCCTCCCCCGCCCCAGCTGCAGCATGGGTGTCATCGGCGGCCGCAGGCTAGGCATGTTCATGACCGGGGCCGGCCCCCTCTCACACGTGTCGTCCTCCGCACCACCCACCTGCCCAAGCGCATCCCTCAATGCTACTGGTCCACCACCCCTACCGCCGCCCTCCTTCCCCACACCCTTGGCGGCCGCCTTGTCTGCCGGCTTCGTCACGCTCTCACGGTTGGCGCGCAGCCCGTCGGTCGACCTGCTGGGTTTTCCACTGCCCAGCGTCTTTGGGTTCGCTGCCGCTGCTGCTGCTGCTGCGGGGGATGGTTTGGCTGTGGCCGCCCGTTTCTGTGTGTGTGGCGGGTGTGGGTGGTGTGGTGCTGTGGTGGTCTTCTGGTTGCGGAAGGGCGACGAGCTCCGGACGAATGGACGGTGGTGGGGCGGGTTGTGGGAGGCCTCGCGGCCGTCGGCAGGGGCCAGCAGATTGCGATGCGACGAAGAGGGACTGCCTAAGAGCAGAAAGCAAAAGAGAGATAGAGGAAGACACAGATGCATATCTATGCAGTGCTGTGTTATCCTATTGGTTTGTGTGTGGGGTGTATGGATACCTCCTTTGTCGTTCATTTTGGGATGTGTGGCCTTCTTGGGTGGTTGATGGTGATGGCGCGGCGGTGGCTGAGACGAGAGGACCGGCCGACGGCCGCCATGGCCCCTGAAAGCAAAGCAGGCGGACAAACATGTTCTTGTCTTGATGGATGTCCACCGGTTCTGGCTTACTTGGCCTGGGTGCCCTCGGGTGGCTTTGGCGACGTCTGTCTGCCCCTCGTGCGCTCATGGTGAGTGGCACCACGCGGCGGCCGCTCCTCGCCTCTCCCCCTACCGCCCCGCCCAACATTGGCCGCCTGCCCCCGCCCATCCCTTCTGTGCATCCCCGCACCTGCTGCCGGTGCTGCTGCTGCACCGACCCCCCGGCCCTCTCTCCCTTGCCCATGCCCATGCCCATGCGGCGCCGTACTTGGTGGTGGCTGCGACGAGACACGATTCTGAGAACCGCCCCCGACCATCCCTGTCGAGATGCGGGGCCGCACTGACGTCGGCATGACCGCCGTCTTGGCGGGGGGCTGGGGCTGCTGCTGCTGGTGGTGGTGGTGTTGCTTTTGCTGCTGCTGCTGCTGGAAGGCCATGTTGGGTATGTTGGGGGTCCTGTGGATGGGGATTGGCGATGCCATTACGTGTCTGTAGAGGTTGATGGGGTTGGGGAGGGGCGATTGCGCCACCGAGTGGGAGACGGGCAGCGGGACGCGAGGAGGGTATGGATGAGGATGCAGCTGGACGGCTACCGGAGAAAACGGCGGCGGAGGGAGACTGCACATACACACACAGAGGAGACAGTAAGTTTTGCGAGAGGGATATGTTACGGCCGCTCTCTGTGTTTCTGTCTTCCTGTCTTCCTTACCCATGCATAGCGGCCCCTGGCAGCGGCTTTGCCAGCGCGCCGCGTGGCTGTGGGACGTGGGGGTCCATGGGCAGTTGCCGCCTGGCCCGCTCCGCCTCCTGCTTCTTCATCTCCATCTGCCGCTCCTCCTGCCGCAGCACTGGGCTCATGTAGACTGCATCCGAATAGGCATACTTGCCGCTGTCATTCTCGACGGGCGGCGGAGAGGTCTCTCGGGGGACACGCACCAGCGGCTGATGAAGAAGGACACAGGGAGATAGAGGGAGGGAGGGAGGGAGGGAGGAGAGATCAGTGAGGGTTTGTTCGTTGTCCTGTCCTCCTCACCGCTCGTTTCGGTCCGACAGCGGCGTCCGTCTTTCGTCTGTGTTTGGTGGGAGCTGCACCGTCGATGTCGGGTGGCGTGTCCTGGTCGTGCTGACGTCTGCGGGGCGGGGCGGCGTCGCGATGCATGACCGCCGGTGTGGCCGGCGGCACTGTGCCCAGTACTGTGCTGCGGGGCACGTGGGCCTGCGGATGCACCTCTGCACACACAGACATTCAGAGGCATGTTGCGACTAGGGTGCGTGTGGGATGTCTGTCTGTCTGTCCAATTGTGTCTGTCTGTCTGTCTGTCTGTGAGGGTTGCTTTACTCGTCCGTTTCTCCAGGTGTTTCTTGACCCAGGGGTGGTGCATGATCTCTGTGGGGGGCCACACACACACAGCAATATGACACACAGTCTGTGTGTGGGTGGGGGATGGATGAACGGATGGATGGATGGATGGCGTACACACCCCATAGCTCCAGCCTTTGTTTGGCGTTGTACACCACCAGCCGCTTGATCAGATCGCTCACGTCACTAGGCACATACTGACACACACACACACACACACACTTACACGTGAGAAGAGACTTCGCGGCTCGGCTTTCTGGCTCCAATGATTTCCTACCTCTGGTATGGTGTAGTCGACATTGAGTATGCCGAGCAGCAGCGCCTCCCACGACATGCTGGCGAACGGCGGCCGGCCGACGAAGAACTCATACAGCAGCACACCCAGACCCCATATGTCCACTCGGTAGTCGTGGCCCGGACGCGCCAACGCCATCTGCACGTGCACACACAGACACAGCACACGGTCGCGGAGAATGAGAACCAATTGTCGCATCTGCATGCATATGCACCTGCCCACCGACTTACCTCTGGCGCGAGGTAATCCAGCGATCCTGACACAAGGCACAGACACAGAGACATACGCGGCCGTGTTCTTTGTCTTCAGCCCAGCTCACCGCAGAACGTGTTGCGCAGCCCGTCCACGGCCAGCCGCTGGCGGCCGGCGGCGGTCGGGGGGCCCGACATTAGCCGATGCCTCTCGATGGGTGCCGCCCAGCCGAGGTCCACCAACTTGATCAGACCGTCAGACCCGATCAGCAGATTCTCGGGCTGCCAGACACAGAGGGGGGAGAGATGGTGTCTGTTTGTGTGTACTTTCTTACTCACTTTGAGGTCTCTGTGGAAGAAGCCTGACGCGTGCATGTGCGCCAACGCCAACACTACCTGCAGCCACATACACATGTGCACACCACGAAGGTAGGTATCCACAGAGATGGAGGGCACGTGTGTGTGTGGCGTAATGCTGCCCGCCCTTTCCGTTACCTGCAGGAAGTATATGAATGCGTCGTCCTCGTTGAAGCGCGGGGGCCGACGGGTGCGCATCCGGTGGTACAACTCGCCCTACGGACACACACACACACACACACACGGCATACAAAGGAGGGAGGAAAGGATGAGGGGGACGATGTGCCTACCTTGCCACAGATGTCCATTATGAGGTAGACATGGAAATCGTCCTCCAACACCTTATGCAGCCTGCACAGACGTCATCCACCTCACACCCTTTGCATGTCTGTCTGTCTGTGGTGCGGTTTCTACTACTTGATGAGGTTGGGGTGGTCCAGGAGCTGCATTGTGGATATCTCCTTCTCCACCTGGGCCACCATGCTCCGATTGTCCCCACTCTCCAACGCACGGGCCTTGCGAATCTGACACACACAGTACACACACACACACATCACATCCTTAGCAGCACATTCATTTCAACTCGCTCTGGCGGGGTGGGGTCACCAAGTGCGATGGCGTACTTACGTGTTTGACGGCGTATATCTTGTTGCCTCCCTTGACATGGATGGCGTGCACCTCGCCAAACGAACCCTTACCCAGCAAACACTCCTCCTGCCTCACACAACACCACACAACACACAAGACAACACATTGCATCGCCTCTACTCTCTCTCTTGTCCATTCCTGCCTGCGGTCCGATAGGTGTGATGTCCTCGAGTGTGAGGTTCTTCCAGTCCACCTGGCCCGTGTCAGGCGGCTCGTCGGCAAACTCCGGCAACAACGACCGCAGCAGCCGCCGGGCATACTCCTTGCTCCCAATCTGCGATACGCTCAGCGGCACGTCCACATCCGATAATGGGTAATAGGCCCGCCTCGATGATGCATACGGTGATGCATGGGCGGGGGTGACTGTGGCCTGGTTGAGTGCGAGGAGGGGCGGGTATGGGTGGTGGTGGTGCGGCCTCACGGGCACCGGCCGGGCGTGGAAGGCATACGCAGGCACCGCCGGCAGCCGGGGCGACGGACCTGCTGCTGTGGTGACGGTGACATGGTGGGGTGCCCCGGGCAGAGGATGCATCATCCTACTTCATCTGAAGGTTGCATCGAGGGGGGTTTGAAGTTCGATTGCAACCATCGTACTCCTCGTGGGGTTTGTAAATGCATGCGCGCTATTTCAGCCGAACCATGATTTGGGTGGTTTTTCTCCTGTTTGGCACCGTGTGTGGCGAAGAGAAGAGGACAGGGGAGTACGCTGGTGCACGGCAAGAGTGTTTGAGCCATGGGCTGACGTGGGAGCGGTGTTGCGACGCCGCCTGGGGAGAGAAGGGCAACGCCGCCTGCTGGCAAGACAATGGTCAGCATAGACACACAGGCAGCAAGGACGCAACACAACACATCCACAGCTAGATCTGCAGATCGCTTGACGTACGAGCGGTGCTGCACCCCCTGGGGATGGGTGGAAGATGCGGACACGCTGATGCCGTTTTTCGCCGACAGGCGGCAGCACGACCAGCGCATGGACGGCCCTGCTGTGCGGGCATACGCCGCCCTGTTCAACTGCCTCATGGAAGTGCAGAAAGGGGGACTCATGACGGGACAGAAATGCAGGTAAAGGACCACCCCACCCACAACATCTGCACAAACCGTGCCGTATGCTCTCTCGTGTATGGTTTGCAGTGAGTTTCGTTCCCTGTTTCACGAGCACGTGTCTGCGCCTCCCGCGTCGTTTCAGCTGGTAGGACTGCACTACCCTCTGGTGTACCGCAGCTACCCCTTCTACTCCATGCTCCTCCCGCCATACGACTTCTACCACAAATCGAGACTCTTTCCAAGGTATTCACGCACACAAACGCACACCACATAGACCAGACGACGACAACACACTAGTGTGGGTGTCTTGTGTCGTGTCCTTGCTTGTTGTCAGTGTGTTGTGGGGTCATGACGAGCAGGCGTTGGTAGAGGAGGGGCTCATGACGCTGCTCAGTCAGGGCGACGTCGTGGTCGACGCTGGGGCCAGCGTGGGAGCACTCACACAGGTGGCTTCTCCGCAGATCAACATATGAATGAATCCATCCACCTATAAGTCATCTTAGCTGTCTTGTCTGTGGTCAGATCTTCGCAGCGGCTGTCGGCCCGAGCGGCCAGGTGCACGCCTTCGAGCCGATGCGCATCCCCTTCCAGATCCTGAACGCCAATGTGGCCCTTGGAGGGTTCAGCAACGTGTGGACATACCAGGTGGCCCTGGGGGACAACGAGACGACCGTGGCCGCGTCTCACCCCCGCATGACGTGGCCCGGCAGCGACATCTCATACACCACTCTGCTTAACGCAAACAAGAATGCCGATGAGGCATTCAAACAAAGAGGTACCACGTGCAGGTACACAAGAGTGCATGCCGTCTATGTGTCTTTGTCATGTGTGCAGGCGATTTTCAGGCGGTGGATGTGCGCCGTCTCGACGCGTATGGCCTCGATCGTGTGGACCTGATCAAGATTGATGTGGAGGGGTTTGAGTATCGTGTGCTGCGGGGGGGCGAGCAGACGCTCAGGAGGGCCAAACCGGTGAGACAGAGAGAACATAACATGGCGGGTTCTGTGTGGCTCACCGCCCTTGTGTGTCTGCCAGGTGATATTTGCTGAGATCAAGAAGCCCTACAAGCGAGACGTCTTTGACCTGCTGGTCACTCAGATGGGTACACACATACATTCATAGTGAAACGAAGAGACACACACACAGGGCACACAGGGCATAGTGTGGCATTCCTTCCCGCCACACACCTGTAGGCTATGAGTGCCACAACGTGCTGACATCAATGGTGTCCGAATACATCTGCGTCCACCCACACAGACGGTACACCCCTCC